CTGTAAAACGAAAACAAAGCACAAACTGCTGAAAGGAGCCAAAATGCTTCATAGAGCTGACTAGAAGTGCAGAGTTGGCTGATAAATATCTGTAGGATTGTTACTACGAGCTACCCCTTTCACCTCATTAGTAGTTATTGGGTCCATTGATAATAAAAAAATATTGATTATAGCAGCTTTAAAGCTCAAATGTTACTGTTAATTAGCATTAATACATAATTAGCAGTAATTACAAAGTAAAAACAAGCATAAAAACAAAAAGAAAATAACACATTAAACGCCATTAAAGGAAAAGATGGATAAACCCTGTCTTAAAGCCACATGACTCTGGTTTAGTCATTTGTTCTTATGTAGCCAGTGTGTCACCCACTGAGGTAATGTTTTGTCTCTCGTTGCCCTAACCTTGACAGATTATTGGCCGCGCTGAGAAAACCTGGACCGTTTTATAGGTTGAAAATATTGGCAGGGGAAGGCATCCTTGTGAGGTAAGCAGCTGTGCTGGCCATATTGCGTATCGATCCACCTTGTGCCATGATGGCTGCACTTAATTAGATTTATATTGTAAACAAAGACTCACAGTATGAAATTTGAATTAGCAGGTAAATGTTATCCATCAAAGCAAATAATAATATTTTGTGCAGTGTGATGCATTATTGGTATTTTGGAGATTTATCTGGGCTGTAAAAGGAGGCAGAATCTTCTACCCTCAGGGTTTACTGCAGGCTGTAGAGCTGCATGCGGCCTGCATACTGTTTCCAACGTCTCTGCAGGCATTGCTCAGTGACAGACACATCGACCTGCAAATAAACAGAAACATACAGCAATGCAAGCACACAGGCGTGCTCTCCCATCCTTCCCTAGAAAAAAGAAATACACGTGGCTTTGAAGCTAAAAAAAGGGGGGAAAAACCCACCTAAGGCACAAATCTACTCATAGTTGCTCCAATCTGACTGCATAATTGTGTCGTCATACTCTGCAGGCTTCCTTTTTGACTGTACCTGCTTAGTCGTGGCTCCAGGAAACCCCACATTGTCCTGTTCTAATCAAATTAAAACGTGTAAAGGCATGACTCCAAACGCTGTCAAAAAAACCTCAAGGATATGGAGCAGATTATTGGAATTCAATCTGATGTAATTAAACACTCCCCCTTCTCCCTTCCTCCCCCGTCCGGCAATCAGTCTCTTACAGGGGGAGGAAAAAAAAAAGCCCCTTGGTTACTCTGAGGTCTCATTTCCGACTCCACATATTCCTCTGTACACAGAGTCTAGAGGGTGGAGCGCAGGATGATCCCGCCAGATCACTGTGTTAGCTAAGTCAAGCGTAATGGTTCAAACTGGGATTTAGTGAGGGAAGCTGGGGTTAAGACCTTTGCTTCTCTGTGTTTGTATAGGAATCAAAAGACTTTGTGTCCTGCATAAAGTCAGAAAGGATTCAGACGGATTTTCTACTTCTTGTTTGAGGAGATTCATAAATATTCCCATTGGTGTAATGTAGGGTATAACAAATACGTGCAGCAAATACTTGCATATACCTGCAAGTGCCTGTAGTCATTTTATTTCCAGTGTGCAGTGTGTGTACTTACTTCTGAAGAACCACTGATGTGTATATCTGCTCCAACATCGCTTCGTGATACAGACGTTGGTCCTCAGTCTTTGGGGTGTCTGCCAGGTTAGAGAGAGGGAACGGGCAACTTCAGAGCCGGCTGACAACAGGAAGTTTTATACAGTGTGAATCTGCGTTACTCATTGTACTGAAAAGTGACTTATCATCCTGGCCCCATATTGTCAGTGCCTTGCCCCATTATTTTTTAAATTATCAAGTTTAGTTTACAGTACTAAGAGACTCTGAATAACCAGTCATGTCAGGATTTGAGGTATAAGTTACCAAATAAATAAATACAGAAGACCAAAATGACAGACAAAGTATGAGGAAGAGTAAGACACATTCTCACCTTTTAAATATAAATTTAAAGTCCATCTTACCTCTGTTTCTTGAGCTAGATGTGACAATTAATTATTTAAAAGTTAATTTGAATATCATTTTAATGTGGATAAAACCCTTTTTTCTTGAATGTCAGTCTTTAGTATTTTAGGTCTAAATTAGCATAAACAGCGGGCTGGTGACATTAAGCTACTGTACTGTATGAAAACAAAATACTCTAACCACAATAGATTTATTAAATAATTACTTCCCAATGAACTCACCTATCATGTTATAATGGTTTAGCTTAACAAAAATACATGTTTTTGTGTTTTATCGAAAGCCATTTTTTTCCACTAATGGTTTTTCCATTGTATTAAAAGGTGATGATTTAAATTCCTTTAAAGATCCCCTCTTCACATTTTGTAAGTCATATAGAAATACTAAAACGAAAAGCAGACATTTTGGAGATTTTACATTACACCAGTATTACTTACTTATATAATTTTTTAGTGGAACACATGGACCCTGCATGGACCTTACTGTGCTAAAACATATCTGAGAAATGTAGCTGTAGCACAATATGTGATTTTAAACATAACATATGAAATATACCAATTAAATTATATCACATTGCAACAAAATTGGTTGCTTCCTTGTTTTCTAAGCTGCATTGAAAACATAGCTGTAATGAGCCCCACTCAACAATGGAGCCTTTGCTATAGTCGTACAGTCATTATTATTGCGTAAGTGTCATCCACTGAAGTCAACTCAATAGCCCTTGAAAACTGTATTGGAAAACCACATGACAGCATTCATCATTGTACAAACAGTTCTGTGGGATGAATAATTGCATGCTTATATGGATTAATGCCTTGAACTGACATTTTCTTTCATTATTATGACCTGTTATTGTGTGGAACTCCTCTCAGTAATGATGGGAGCTCTTTTCATAGTTTATCACTTTTTATAACTGTTTGAATTTCTATATTAAATGACTGTTAACAGCTTCCTTTTATTTTTAGAATTGACATTTCTCACCCATGTCACCAAAACAAGCAAAAAGGAGGGATCTTTCTGTAAATCACCCCTCACAAAGGTTTTCATATATTTCTATTGTGCTGGGGCAATAAAGCACATTGAAGCCTTTTTGTGGCATTGGACTATACAAATAAACCTTCTTTACTTACTTTGAAAGGGAAATTTTGTTGATACCTTGTAAATAAGTTTTCTCTCATGCTTTTTGAACATTAATTTCCCTTGCGAATATATAATGTGCATCTTTTTGTCCAGTTGTCTGTCTCTCTTCTATGTACCAGGATTGGCTCAAACCTTCGTGACCCACAACATGATGAGCCATTTAACCCTCTAATGTTCTTCTCTACTGTTTGGTAGAGCAAATTTTGAGTTTTTCAATAATTTGTTGTATTATCTCAACCTAACTGAGACATCTCTACCACTCTCTTTAACCAGAACCAGACCTTTTTAGGTGACGGACTTCCATCACTCTGTGATCCTGTGACATGATGGTGTTATAAAATGTAATTGTAAGTTTTCTGGTGTAGTTTAGTTTATAGAAGATAATTATGTATATAAATACCCCTAGAAAAAGTATTTATTATATATATAAATATTTAGTTATTGTTGCAAAGCTGTATATTACCATGGAAGTGAACATTGAAGTGAACAGGAAGGATTACTGTGTTTCCTCGTGTTTGAATTCAAGTCAGTAATGTTTTGTAGAAAACCACAAAAAGAGCTAGTTGTATACAGATCACACTGCATATTATGTGACTTTTTGTTATGCTCTTGTTCATATGAAGATGTGTATTTTATTTCACTTTAATGGAGACAAATGTATGCACGTTGTTGAAAGTGCGTGTTTGCTGTAAATGGACATTTCAGCAGGTAAATGGAATCCTTGAAAAAGGCTAAATATTTTGCCCTTAGTGAGAAATAAGGAATGCATTTACTGGGTAGTAGGAGTATTAAAGGGTTAAAGAATAGATGGTTGTATTATTATTTTCCAACAACCTTTGATTTTAAAAGTTATGCCCTTTCTGACACCAGTAAAACCACCAGTTAGTCACTGGTGCAGCTAAGAAATAAGGACCTTTTATTGCACTGCTCAGTACTAGCTGACTGAGGGGCCTTGATGTCTTTCCCCACATGTATACCCCACTGAGCTTCTGAAGACAGAAATGATCTTGTTATCAACCCACCTGAAGAAAAGGAAACTTTCATTTTAAGTCACTTTCTTGGTGACAGAACACATAACAGTCATTAAAAGTAAGACCAGAATGAGATCATTTGAATTTTTACTTTGATGACCTTGAACACCAAGACCATCTAAATTTGCAGGGAACGTTTCTTTTCATGTATTTAATTTATTCTTAAAATATTTCATGATAAAAAAATGTATGTAAATGACTCTAATACTTCTGCAATGCTTCCTCGGCTTTCTCTTTCTCTCTCTCTCCTCGTTGTATTCACCACCATCGGAGAGAGGCCAGATTTGTGCGAACAAACACAAGCACAAAAATAAATTAAGAGATCAAAACCCATAGAGAGGAAATGAGTCAGTATTCCACACCGTGTACAATACAATATCATAGCAAATTAGCAGATTTCAATGGCTTCCACTGACTACCATAGATTTACAATGTTCAGTTGGCTGCAGATCAGTCCTCAATAAATTGTCACTTTCCTTTTTTTTCCATTTATGGTTCTGATAGACAGTGACTTGTAGATGACCATGAAAAGAAAGCGGCTACTGAGGTGTGAACAGAAAACCTGGGACTACGAGCCAGCAGAAATGAGAACAACAGCATTTGTTCACATCCTACTAAACTGCCATTGTGACCACATTTTAAGTCCAATAAGCTTCTCTACAAAGGTACAACATATAAAACTGTTAAATATATAACTTTTTAGGGCCTTTCAAAATACATTTAATGACATTTCTTTACTCCTTCTTTTCAGGCTCAACAGCATTTATACTCTCTGTAGATATTTATCATCTCTTTGATATGATTTGCACTTCTTATCCGTCACCAACACGTCAAACCTGCAAGCTGTCCCAACCGTAGCTACTGAAAAATGCAAATCAGATTTTTTTTTTTTTTTTGATACACAGTTATACGTATGTAGTACCTATATCTCCAGTTCCAAAATACAGTGGTGGGCTTAGTCTGAGAAAAAAATGTCTGGAAAGTTTTAAAAGTACTCCTTTGATTGTGTACGGTACATATGCCACCAGACGCGAGGTTCGGTTTGCATCGGCCCACTTGTGCACCATGTCTCTGTGGGGGGGTGGGGCAGTCGTTAGTCGATGGCGACACAAAACAGCAAGCTCACAACGTCTCTGTGTGTCTTTGCCAGATGGTTCGCTCCGTCATAATGATCTTATTTGTTGTTTTGCTCTTTGGTCTATAAAAATATGGGAGGTTTTACTCCAGCAGAAGGCCTATTCACAGCAGAGCGTGCTCAGTTCGGTTTTTAACGGCCTCGTGAGGTGGTCCGAGAAGCAACAGGGTCTGGTCTGTAATGATCCCCTCCTTGCTCTGGAGCTCCTGCTCTAGAGGCTAGGGTGTGATGTGGGAAATCCCTTATTCAAAGCAGTTAGCAGTTTAAAACAGGAGACTTCCTGATGAGGCAAAAACCATTCATGGGATTTTGAAGGTGTCCGATCCTCCGTGGCATGAGCGGGCGCTGCTAACTTCACAGAGCAGGCAGATAGAGTGAAGAGGAGGTGGATGCAACATTTTGACCCAACGACAGATAGCAGGAGGGAGCAGTCACAAACCCAGAGGAGCCAGTCACAGGAAATAGACAGTGTTTTACAGCGAGTGGTTTGTTCAATGTCCATGAGAGAGTTTGCTCCCTCAAACAGTCACTCCCTGGTTGTCCCATCTCTGGCTGTGTTATGAGACCTGTGAATCAACAAGAACAGAGCAAACATGAGATGATTGTTTTAGCACACAGTCATTGTCACTGCCTTCTCGGCTCCTGAAAGAACGTAAATCACTTCTGAAGGTGTATTTATGCAAAAAAGCATTTCAATAGTTAAACGTTTAGCATTTTCTTTGTACTACCTTTATACTGAGCACACTGAAGTGAAATGAAAATACCGCATGAATGAAGTGAAATGAAAATACGATCATGCCGTGTCATCTAACATGCAGCGGCACAGTATATATTTTGTTTAACAATTCAGAATTTTGACATTTACCTAAGTTTTTGGAATTAAAGTTTGTCTTTGCAGTATAAATGCATCTGCTCGCTCTCATAAACATTTGTTCTTCCTCTTTTGAGTATAAAGTGAACTTTCAACCTTGCCTGAAGATTGATACCACTCTAATGTCTGTCTGTTAAATATAAAACTAGAGTCAGGGGTCAGTTAGCATAGCTTAGCATCAAGACAGGAAACAGGATGAAACAGCTGTCCAAAGGTAACAAAACTGCCAAAGAGAACGTCTAAAGTTGGATAATTGCGTGTAGGTGGATTTGGTTACAGTTGGACAGCCTTGCTAGCCGTTTCCTCTTGTTTCCAGTCTTTACACAAAGCTAACTGTCATCTAACTCATAGCCAGACGGCAAAGAAGTCCCAAAAACTGAACAATTCCTTTACGTCTTATTTGCTCTCTTGCCAAGAGTCAGATGACAAGATTAATACCACTCTTATGTGTGTATGCTACATATGAAGCTAAAGCCAGCAGACGGTTAGCTTAGCTCAGTATAAAACAGGAAACAGCTAGTCTGGCACTGTCTAAAGCTATAAAAATTGGCCTACTATGTATATCTTGTTTGTTTAAGCCGTACAAAACCCCAAAATGCAGCCTCCTGTTTTCAGTCTTTATGCTAAGCTAACTGGTTGCTGGCTGTAGTTTCATATTTAGAGCAGATATAATAATAGTTTCAATCTTCTCATCTAATTCTTGGAAAGATACTAAATAAGAATACTTCCCAAAATGACAAGCCATGCTTCTAAAAGAAAGAAATGCTACATTTCAGGAAATCATTGCATACATTTTGTGTTGCTATAAGCATTGTGTATACCCGTTGCTCCTCAGCAAATGAAGGTGTTAATTACAACACTCTGATAGCATCGCAAGAGGAAAAGACAAAAACTCAACAGCTTAGTCAAATTGAGTGTTTTGCCAGTCAAATATTTAAAAATTTTCCGCTGGTGTAACCCAATAACAAAGCCAGTCTCACAGTGCAGAGACTGAGAAACAATTAATCTACCACAAAAAGACAAATCTGGAAGCCTCCTCACCATCTGGCCCCCGCCAGTCACACAGCCAACTTGATAGAGGCGCTGATGCCTTACAAGACTGCTGCATTTGCCACTGAAGCTTAATTCATAATAATGAACTCTTGATGATTTCACAGGGTGCAAATTGCCATGAAAGGGGCAGGTGTTGGATAGAGTACTAGCATGTATCACAGATGACAATGTCTGATGCTCTGGGAATAATAAACATCTCAATGAGCTCAGGGGTTTAATGGAGGTAATGTCATGCTTTTGTTGGAGCTGGGCATGAAATGACCCAGAGGTGTAACAGCTTAAAGCAGGGGCATGACTGTGCTAACTGCTCGACTGTAACCGCTGCCCAAACAGGTGTTTAATCCCTGTGTAAGCGCAGCCCCTGTTGTCAGTGCCTCCTAGTGGGCACACTGAGATCGCATCGCCACTGAGTGGTCAAGGAGCCACAGATGAAATGTAAAGAGGACAGAATCACTGCACAGAAACAGGAATCTCAAGAAAAATGAAACTCAAATGAATTTAAATAGATAGCAGGCAAAAAGACGGCCTTGTTTATGTAAGCTATCACATGGTCTGTGTCTACCATGGTAATTTTCTTATATTCTCTCTCCCTTTTTTCTCACACCCACACTGTGGCAAATGGTTCCCCATAAATCTCACACACAAATCTCATCTCAGGGAAATGCAAGCCTTCTATTAAAAAGAGGAACGAATGTCAGATGAATATGAGATGAATTTGCCCTATGAATAAAATTCACAGACCCTAGGTGATTATTACCTCGGGTTTATCAGGAAACGACCATATTACTCTATTTTATATCTTATAACAGTGAGAGAATATTTTACATTTTTGTGCCGGAGGAATGCAGAGTTGAGAGAAATGTGCTGCAGAGCCTGTCTGGCTCTTAAACACATGGACAAACTTTGAGTACAGTGGGGTCTGGCTGTTCAAACAAAAAAAGAAAGAGAATTAGATGAATCCGAGTAAGACTGATAACTGCTGCAGGTGTCAAAGTAACAGAAGGGAAAGTCATGGACAGAATCCATCTGTGTTAATGTCTAATTTGTGCAGATTTCTCTTGTTATGGAGCAAGCAGGTGACCCACTCGATACGTATTGATATGTACCCAGCAGCGCTCAATAGAGGACGAGAAAAACATTTGATTTTAGGGACGTTGCATAGAGTTTCCTGTCTCTGGGCAAAGATGAAGTGCTTTGATGTATGAATGAGAATATACATTTGTGCTGGCTTTCGTATGCATTTCTTATGTGTATTCAAGTGAAAGCAAAGGGAGCCACATCTGCTAAAGCTAAGGAAAATTATACACAATACATATGGAGTTGCTTTCCAGCTGGGAGTTGGAGGATTTAAAGCAAATGTGCCCGAACACATGGCCCCGGCTTGACATTTTATCTCTGTGTGAACTCTCGCTGACTCCCTTCAAAATGTCGCAACGCTGTGACCCATGGTGAACATGTGAATGGGCACGCATGAAAGAAAACTGATCGACCTTGCCTCTCCAAACTCTTTATTGAGACCCTCGTAGATGTGAATAACAAAATCTCGTATGCAGTTGATAAATTGATGTATGATTGAATGTTTTTTTTACATTCGCTGGAAGCTTTGTCTGCTCCTCCGTCATTCTAAAGTGCTCCCGCTTTTTTGCATCAGGTCGCTATACTTGTTTTTAATACTCGTTCCTGCCCTCGCTGTTTAATGTTAAGCCTTGTGCAGTTGAGAACGCTCCCTTTTGGATCAGAGCGCGCAAGCCGCACAATAGCCTGCCAGATGAATATTCATAAGTGAACTTGTGGGTTAGGAATGATCCACAGGTTAATAAGGGAAAGGAAATCGCTCATTACATGCTGTGAAGTTGGATAATGCCTGAAGCAGATGCTGAGATCAAAACACATGAACATGTATGCACGGGCCTCCAGACACTAGCCCCCATTCCACATTAAGAGAGAGTTCAAAGCTATCTGGGGTGTTATGTCATTATCAACCCTTTCATATTGCATTTCCTCAGAACTTCAAAGCAAACACAGCTCACTATCTGCATTCTACAATATGATCAGAACTTTAATGCTCAAGAGGGAACATTAGAACAGATTTAACATCCTACAAGGGTGGCTTCAGAAAGGGATAAAAAAGTGTCATTGATTTGTTTTAGATATAGACAACATATCGCTCAATACACTGAAATGTATAGATTATATCTGAATTGCATGCTGGGTGAGATCAGATCATTTCAGGCAGGTATTGTCTTCCTTTATACATGATGTTATGGGATCAAATGTCTAAATCCAATCTTAGATAGCCTTCTGTGTTAGAAAATAGACAATCTAGAATAGATAATCTTCTATAAGATGCACTGTGAGAGGATGTGACTTCATGGCATGCGTTCCACCCTGTGTGTATTTATATTTTAAATCTACTGAAGACTTGCTGTCTGGACTGAAAAAAAAAACAGCTGGATCACATTTATTTATTTTTTTCCCCAAAAGCAAATCATAACATGGGCTATAAATGCTGACGGTATTGACCGACAGAAGAGCCTGGTTTTCAGAAACTCTATGAGACTGTGCATTTTATGATTTTGGCCTCATCCTTTTTTACTGCACCGTAAGTTAAATTTACAACATGGCTACTCTCTATTTCCCAATCACATGCATTAATATCAGAGTCTGCCTGGCGCCTGTTTTATTTGAGCACACAGACACCATCTGACACAATATTTTAAAGACAATATACAAGGCATGCCAATAAAACACAGCAAAAACAAGCTGGAAATAAACCGATGGGTTTTACTGGTATTGCTGCACACATGGATTTTCTCTGGTTAAACGCACACTGGGGAACTGGTGAGCTTATGGAAAAATGACTAAGCCAAATAAAGATATCAAACAGACGGTTGTATCTGGATTTACAGTGTGTACTCGCATGTTTCCTGCTGTTTGAATGTTGCGCTACAGCTAAAGGAGGTGTGTGTTTGCGGTCTACAGTAATAAAACTATAATACTGGTTGTAATCTCTTCATCAGATACTGAAAATACTGGAAGGATGAAACTCAATTACCCAGTTCATCAATCGTAACACATAAGGAAAATTGATTTTGGATCAGTTGTATACGTGCAGTACAGTGCAGTTCATGGTGAATAATATGACCATTGGGACGTGGTCACTTTCATTATTTTTTAAATTAAAAAATGTCATTTCTGAATAATAAAAATAACAAAACAAGCCTCACTGTCACAAATTCAAAGATTTCTTGAGGGAAGGGGCTTTCTGTTGTACCTTGCTGCCTCCATGAGGCCCTTGGTGCTCTGTAGCTGCTTGTGTTGCTTCCTGCCTTTGCGGGACCAGGGTTTGGGTGGAGTTGTTGTGATGTTGGTGGTGGTGGTAGGGTGGTGTTGGTGGTGTTGGTAGATGGTTTTTGGCTGTCTGTCAAGGGGTCATCAATGCTCTCCATAGTGCAAGAGTGTCGAGGGGGACTCTTGTCGCGTCATAGAGCCTGGGGGGAAAGAGGGAGGGGAGACGGGGAGGAGGAGAGGGAGAGGTGGAGGTGGTATGGTTATCAAGCTCATTAATGAGGATGCAGTGTTTTATTTTTAAGGTTTTATTTATTTTCAGATTTATACATAGTCACACCACCATCACCACCACCACCATTATCAATTTGTCTCACTAAGGTGTCTTGAAAACGTGCCTACTTGGCTTTCTACAAACCTGATAAACTGTTCCGTGCTTGTGTTTGTCACAAGGAAAGTGTTCTGTTAAATATAGTAGAGTGTGAGTAAAACAGGGTCTGACTCAGCACCCTAATAAAAGAAAAATACAAAGATGTTTTTCCAGTGACTTCTTTAAATAACCATGTACTTGATAAGCGATACAATAAAATAGAATGGCAACAAAATCATTAAATCATTCTTTATTTTAAACTCTTTGCAATTTAACTACTCAACTACTATGACCGAATACACTGCAAAATGACATCACCATTAGCCTCAGCTGTACTGTGTGTTCAGTGCTAATTAGCAAATGTTAGCATGCTAACACACTAAACTAAGATTGTCAACATTGTATGCATTATACCTGCTAAACATCAGCATTGTCAATGTAAGCATGTGCACAGGTACAGCCTCACAATACATACATGGCATAGCTGTAGACTCTTGTTATGTCATTAAATGGCATCCCTCCAGCAACAACCATGTATCATGCATGTATCTCCAAAACTGGGTTGACAAAATTATTCTACTTCCTACAATATATACACAATTAAAAAACCATTAGATTATCTGAAAATGCATCTTCGCAAAGCTGATATTGTGCTGTTACTTTTTTTTTTACTCCTGAAAAGTTGACATTTTCGAGATACGTGGTTTTCAGCAGCAAGAACGTATTTACGTGTGTGTGAGTGTGCTCGTTGTCTCGTTGCCTCGTTGCCTGCTTGTTGGAATAAACCTGTAGCTCTTCCAACTGGGAGTGGCTGGCAGTGCGAGCACAAGCCAGCAATCTCCCCGCTTTATGAAATCAGTTGGCTTTTTGGGCCACATGGAAATGGCTGAAGGTCTTTCTGGGAGATGTTGACACTTGAAGGATGAAACACAGGTAGGGGTGCCTTCATGGCTCGCAGAGGCTTTGGGTTTAAGCAACACTGCTCACTTAGCAGATCAATCCCGCAAGCTCTTAGGCTGTCGATATGAACCCAAAGAGACACACTTTCCCAGCTTCCCAAAATGGAGGGCTTGGTATTTTCCAAGCTGAGACAATGTGCTGACTTGGCTCCCTCTAGGAGGAAGCTGGCAGACAGAGCTAATGGTTAGCAGCAACAGGGTCTCTTTCTCTTCCTCCCTTTCTCTCGGCCTGTCTGGGGTGGCCAAGCAGCTGTCTTCTTAGTGGTGATTCTGTTCAACCCACTGTTGCATGTGTCTGGAGGGCCCAGAGGGATCAATTACCAAGGCCGGTACTGACCCAGAACCACAGGGGGGGATGTGGTGATGGTGGGGCTGTGCATGATCCCATCAGGCCCAGCGTCTCCACAGAGAGAGGAAGAAACAGAAAGGAAGTGATGGGAGGGGGGTGGCTGTGGGGGTATAGGAGGGAGGCCCTCAGCAGTGGCTTACAAACCCCCAATCGAAAGAGCTTTTTCATACTCTGCCGAACACATGCTGTCACTGGCAGATGTATAAATGCGTAAATACTTTGGAAGCTTACAAGGAGACACAGACTGGCCTGGGGATTGTCATGTGTAAACTGCAACCTTTGTAGAAAAAGACTGTTTGTGTGAGGATTACACAGCCTTTATCCCCATGCATATACCTCCAGAGTGTATAAAATATGTATGTGGATACACATGAGCTCATATTATCAAGTATTACACTCATGTTCAAACATGTTTCCTTCAGTTGCAGAGGTACCAGAATGGATTGTTCCTCCTCTACTGTCAACTTCAACTCGCTCCCTTCCACCCAAATCCCCTTCCTAACTCCTCATCTTTTTCTTTCCTCCTTCCTTCCTCCGTCTACTAATCTCTTCTCCTCTCCTCTCCTCATTGAAAAAGTCTTGATTACAGTAATCACAGTCCTTCTCTCGGTAGGTGCCACTTCGGCTGGTGGCACAGCCTAAATAACCCAATCAAGACCAACCTAATGGAACGTATGATTAACACCTAGTAAGACATTTAGGGTTTTTTAGTAATTTTACCTGTTTCGGGAGTGTTTTGTACATTCTGAGTCACTGTTTCCTGCAATGTCTGAAAATGATGGTGTGGTGAAAAGTACAGTACTCAACAAAACAAGTGGATTGCAAAGATTGCAAGATAACAAATGCTCTTCTTCAGTGAGTTGCCGTGTATAAATCATTTGAAAACAATGGCTAAACCATGTGTACTCCGCTGGATGCTGTGTAAACAGCATGGTAGCCACCAAAAAAGTATTTTCTTGAAAGTTTACTGCTGCAGTTGGATTTTTCTGCAATTCTAAGTTGAAATGTGAGAGAAAACTACTACTAAGTAAGACTACTACTACTAAGAATGTCCTTTTATACGAACTTAGCAGGCACTTAAAGGCTTAACAACAAAAGCCGCTGCTTGATGCGCAGCAACTGAAAATTACTTAAATAATGTTTTACAATGCTATACATCTAACTGGCTCAAATCTCTTTCTGTGTCTTTCACTCACACTGCTCTTTTCTTCTCCCACACCGCTTTTCTGCCTCTGTTTTGAATTTTGTCTTATCAGGCTGTCACAAAAGCCGTCAGATAACCTGAGGTGATTTCGCTTTTCTCCTCTAATGGTGCACTCACTCTCCCTGCGTCGGCACACGCAGAGAGAGAAAGCTCCTTGCGCCGTTTCATCTGCCAGTCTAAAATGGTGGAGGGCACAACGCAGAGCATCCTTCTCTCTGGAGAGAGACAGCAGTAAGCCTTTCACTGAGAGAAGGAGGTATAGGAGATGACTGCTGAGACTACATATCGCTTTGCCAAAAGACAGCACTTTGGAAAGGCAGCATTTGACTGTGGTAACTGTGTGATAAAAAGTATATTCAAATCATTTAGCATCATGGAGGGGAGGAAAGTATATTGGGAGCAGGAAATGAACCCCTGCTTGCTGCGTATAAGTACTTCTTTATCTGGTGATTTTTTGCAAATTAGCCATGGCGTAATGTTTGGTGAGGATGATGTGACTATTAGCCAGACACTTACATTTATTAGTTTATCAAACATGTAAATATGGTTATTGTACTGTTGGTTAGAAAACAGCACATTGTCTCAGGTTATATCCCTTTTTGTTTGCACTAACGAATTGACACTAACTGCAAATTATGCAGCTTGGGTTCCTAACTAAGGGTGTTTTTATCATTCAATTTATAATAAATTCTACATTTTGTCAATGTTACTGTAAAGAGGATGTTCTCCATCCTCCTCTACCTCAGTTACATTTGCTACACCTGTCACACACTGTCCGTTCTCACATACGCAGTGTACGATGATATCCATGGCAAATTTGCCACTGGGAATTTGGAGTAATTTTTGAATGGGTATTAAGGTTTTACACAGGAACAAAAGCAGTCTCTTAATTTCTAGCCAACAGCCTCAAGGACTGTAGCCAGCAGATTTTATAAGGTGTAGCTGTGTTCTAGTGTAATCTAATGCTAATATTAAATGATATGTTATAATACTAAAAGACAGAAGTCATGAAGTCACATGTCTCAGGCAGCCTACATCCTCACCAGCTGATCCATGTAGAAACCTTGTCCATGTTTTCCATTTTAAATTTTAATGTAGTCCTGTTTTTACAGGAGAGTAATAGAAAACAAATTAAAAAGAAAACATTTCTAACAGTTTTCCACTGTAACCTGTTACCGCCACTAAATAATGTACTTAGCTAATGCAATAATCTTTGCATTTAGAAATAACGCTAGTAGGTTACTACTGTAACTGTAAGCTAGTTAGCCGGAGATGCTAACGTTTGCTGCCTAATAACAGCAACACAATACAACTAAAGTTGAATCCACTCCACACGTTAAGTCTTATGTTTTTGGTTTTGGAAAGGTTTTTAAAAAAAAGATACCACCATCCAACTCTTGAGGTAAGCACAGTACAGAGTACAGACCCGGGCCACTCCGCTTGACAGGGCCTGCTGGGCCACAGTTGCTAAGCTATGACTGGACAATTGCTATTCAGGCTCAATTGCCACTTGACCACATGGTTGCACACAGTTACGTTTTGACATATCTTTCTGTAAGTGATTATTTATCATTTTTATGGGTTGCCATAAGGAACGCATTTTGGCAGATATCTGGTTTTATGTACTCTCTTATGTACTAGAAAATAAAGTGGTTACTGATGGACACGCAGTTGAGTGTCCAAGTGCATTTTATTGTTTCATTAATACACTTAAGTGAACCCAAGGAGCCCATTTACAGTCTGAGAGCTTGATATGGTTCATCTGAGGAATTCCATTTTCTGTTAGGTCAATCCTTTAGAGGAGAAACTTGTCACTGTATCAGGGAGATTCTTGATACTGAAATAAATTATGTGCTATAGCTTCACAAGTGCACCTCTATTTGATATGTGTCCTTTTCAGCTGCGGTTGTTGGGTGCTGCTAATAAAAGTAACCTCGCTCAAAACGTCGCTGTCAACAATAAGCAAAGTACATATCAATCTTCATGTTTCTTCTGGAGCCAGCCGTAGAAAAAT